ATTATCAATAATAATTTTATTGATAATTATCATGAGGAGTCATGTAGTTAGGCAATTAAATATTCATGTATGTGTAAATTTATTACCATAATTGCAGGTGAGTCATGTAAATTTATGTTTTTATAAAACAAGTAGTTTAAATATATGTTTATCAAATACAGTCTAATGTTACAACTAATCATGGATCCATGTAATAACTCATGAATTAACTATTCTATATACTGTTGTATGTAAACACTCATATAAATGTAGTTTCACACCAAGTGTTAGACATGCAATAATGGTTAGAAAACATCTGACTTGACTGTTAATCCTGTAGTGCATCATGAAAGGCAGTTCCTAATAGTTATCTTTTTGTGAACCATTCTAAAGTGGAGATTATTGATGCTATGCATTTGTTAATGTAAACAAGGCCACAAGTTCCCTTTTCAGCTGTGGAAAACAGACTGAAACCATAGCCAAAACATTCTCCAACCATTAATACATGTCTAACACATGGTATGAAAGTACATTTATATGAACATTTACATACTTACACACAGTATATAGAAAGTTAATTAATGAGCTATTAAACATGAATAAACAAATAGTATGTTGGTTTTGGTAGTAATTAGTCTTTATAGGCAAAACATTAATACATTTGTTATTTTTTAGCTTATTAAGTATGAATCATCCTTAATTTATGATGTTTCCCAGGTTAACTAACCATGTATTAGTGATTAGGTAAGGCTAAATAAGGTGTATTTATTATAAAGTGTTACCAGATACTATTATTTTTCATCTAATGTTGGATCTTGAAGTATGTAGCACACAATAGGCTGCCTTCAGGCCCAGAACTCCCTTGCAAAAGTGATCTGTGATCTCTATGGGATTTGCCTGGTTAAATAACAGTAAATAAAACATAAAAATGTAAATAATACCTACCTTGATAGCATCCTGTATGCATCAGGTTTGTCTACTGGCTTCTCCAGAATCATCCCATCCACTGTCTGCAAAAATTTAAACCAGTGAAAAATAGATAGCAGTAGGTAGTGAACATAGTTTGTAACGTTTTCTTTAACTTACCACAATTGTGTCTGCTCCGATTACTATGTCCGGTGTTTTCAGGTGCTTCTAAACCAAATCAGGTCAGAATATGTTATTTCATGTCATTCAGGATCATAATTCTGTTTGTCATATGTAAAAGTAGTTATACCCACAAAGGGCATTCTCCGGGCCACCTCCAGGGCTTTCTGCTTGGCTGTCTCCACAGCATACTCATAAGGTTGTTTGAAAAGTTCCTTATTGAGGGTTTCTTTAAACCATGATGGTACCACCTCAAAACGCAAACCCTGACATGTAAAAGAACACAGATTGTTAAAAAAATAAATACTTGTCACAAATATTTTATTCCAACTAGCATTATTAAATTTTGGATTAACACCAGTAATATCAAACATTTAGGAGGATATTTAGGAATGGGATTTGCTCTTATAGAAGCAGATCCAATATATGATTGACAGTATAACTGCACTGTCACTGGTTTATAATTTGTTTGTATATATTTCTAAATTATGTCTGTAAATTTACAATACAATTGTGTGTGTATGTCTAGTTACATCAATTGAATAAAAACAATTCAGGGAGTGTGAAATATGGTTTTAAAACTCCAAATGAATTACGCATATCCAACCAACATTCACATTTATGATACAAGTTCAATAAGCATTGATGGATTGGAAAAAAAGCTGGTTAGGTAATGTGCATAAATGTAAAACTCATGTATACAATATTATATCTAAAATTTATGTTTATGATGCATTCAACTGATTGTATGTCTATTAGTTTAATTATGAAAACACATACCGCGTTTCGAAGTATCTCCTGTCTTCGAGGAGAGGCACTGGCCAGCACCACCAGTTTACCAGCAAGTTTGGAAATGACTGGGTTTAGCACCATGGTGACCTTTGTGTTTAACTGAGGAGGTGAAAACTGTTAAACATTAAAGGTTTCAGGCACTCTGAGGAAAACAGAATTTGCTGGTTTCCAGTGATCACTGTGGTCAGACTCTTCCAGCTGTGAAAGTGCTCATCAAGTCATTCTGCAGGCACTAAAAATCTGACACCAGTACAACACGGTGACAGTCATTCTTCTTATACAATCATGTCAATTAGATAAATGAGCTCTGTAACTTCCTTGAGGAAAGGGATACGGATTTTACCATCCGAGACCACTAAATCAACTAAAACTGATGCGAACATACTGCACAGACATTTAAAATACTTGACGACAAAAGCCAAAGCATGCCTAGTTAGTGTGCAACTACTAGCAAAACTGCGTCATTTCAGCTAACTTGACTGAAACAACTTCACTAAAGGACGCGTTTGTTAGCGATCAAACCTAAAAAAAAAAATTACTTGGTTCAGTACTTTATATGTATGTGTGGGTGTGTTTCAATTAAATACAGTGAGAAGCTGTAACTCTTACCTGCACGGGTCAGGAAACGAAAGAGTTTGGACGACCAACGTGAGGACGCATGCGTAGTGACGTCACACAAAATGGGAGGATCTTCTGTCAAGTCTTACTTTATGTAAAGCCATCACTGCCAAAATAACGCAACTTGTTGTTTTTTACGCGTTGTTTGGCATGCATGCAATTGCTGTCTTCTTCTTCTTCTTCTTCTTCTTCTTCTTCTTCTTCTTCTTCTTCTTCTTCTTCTTCTTCTTCTTCTTCTTCTTCTTCTTC